CTGTTCAGGTTTTTCCTTGAGCAGCTCGTAAACGTAGCTCACGGCCCGGGAACGAGAGAACTCAATCTCGTCATTACACCATACTTCCAAAATCTTGAGGACCTCGAAATACTGTTCCTTCAGGAAGTGCTCAAATGCCCAAACGATAAGGTGGCGCTTCTGAAGACCATTTGGAAGGGCATTTCCTTCAGACCACTTGCTTCCTGCCCCTTGGAATGCAGCCATGAGCGATGGCTGGTTCGCGAAAGACCTGAGCCTACGGTCGTTCGGAAGTAACGTGCCCTGGGCAAACATATCTTTAAGGGTCCTCAAAACTTCTACCGCCTGAGCACGACTGCGCTTCTTTCCCAGAGCGATAAGGTTTTCCAGAGATTTCGCGTTGTGCACAGGCGACTCCTGTATAGCAAGTGTCAACGCCGAAATCTTATCACTAAGAGTACCGGTGGACATAATAGTCGCGTAGAATTTGTGAGAAGAGGAAGCCAGAGTTTTCTGCGCTTCAGAATACATGTTGGATTCCTCCTCGAGCAGGGATACGGCGTAGTTATGAACACGATCAATCAGGTGTTTGGGCAAGGTGTTCGCCTGTTTCGCGGAGATCGAAGGAAGTTCGGTCATGAACCAGTCGGATCTAGGTGGGACAGCCTATTATCCGGTTAGAATGGCATCTGCTAGCAAAGCCATGGTAAACTCACAAGTTTGCTGTATTCCTTGGGGAGAGGAGGCTCCGCGGATGGCTTAGCCTTCTCTTTTTTGGCCTCCTTAGCAACTGGGGTTGGAGGAACATCCTCATCGGAGCTTTCTTGGTCCTCCTCTTCACTTTCATTATCATCTTCAGCGTCAATATCGGCCTCGTCATCCTCCATGTCTTCTTCCTCCTCGTCGTCGTCGTCTTTTCCTTCCTCCTCTTCCTCCTCCAGTTCCTGCCCCGCCTCGTCTTCCTCGTCGTCGGCAATATCATCGGGAACAACTTGACCAGCGGCAGCCAAAATACCCGACAACTCCTTTCTTAGTGCATCCTCCACAGACTTGCCACCGGAACCCTTGGAAGTGTTCTTAGCATCTTCAACTTCGGACTCAGAATCAACCCCCGCAAGCATGTTATAGTCTTCCTCGGTACCCCCAAGGGCCAAAATCTCCTGTCGCAGAGCATCGCTCTGGTCCGCTTCCTTGGGTTTCGACGACTTCTCCCTTCCGGAGGCGTTCTTGTCTTCCCTTGCGATCACCTCGCCATTGCGGTCCCGCTTCTTGCCCTTGTTATTCTTGTCGGTATCGGTTCGTTTTGTGTCGGGCTTAAACGTAGCTTCGTTGTTCTTTTTCGGGGTATCGTTGGAAGCAGCCTTCTTATTATTCTTTGGCTTTTGCTTAGCAGCGTTCTGGTCTTTCAATCTCTGTTCGATCTTCTGGCGCAAGCCGGCAAACGCACTCTCCTCAAACTGAGGGACAGCATCCGCACCAGCGTTGGAGTCATTAACCCCCCCTTCTGGGGCAACGGCAGTCGCTCCAGAGGAGCGCTTCCCCTTTCCTTTGGCCATGATGGGACAATTTCCTGGCCAAAATACAGTATCGTCGGAATGGTTTATCCTACTTTTTTTTTTCTGCCGCCCGAAAACCCAAAAAAATTATGGGGACGCTCGAGGCCGCCGGAGAAACCGTTTCACCGTTGGTCGGCGTCCCGGTGCACGGGCCAACTAAAGCCTTCAATACGGACCTTTTATTTAGATCTCCAGCTAATCATATCCATGATATTGGAGATAAAAGTTGCCTTCTGTTTACCGCTCTGAATAAATTTCCCTGTATAAAGGCTTAGAAGGATTGCCAATCGCTACACTCTATAATTCATGATATCCGGTTTTCGCCCGATCCCGGGCCGCTATTCCGGCGCATATAGAGCATACTGTGGAGTCTTGCGATTCCATAGAGCTCCAAGATGCAGCTTCCATGTAGGCCATTGCGCACCTACTTGCCACAAGATTTACTCACTAACAATGGCAGACTGATGGCCGAACTCGGGTGTCTAACTTCTGGATTCCAACGGGAGGTATCTCAAAGAAGAATGTCAAGGGTGAAAAAGGTATTTCTAGATGCAGTTACCCTGAATGACAGCAATTGACAACGGGCTAGAGGACGTGAATGACCTCTTGGTTCGGGGGGGCTTTCTCCGACAGGTAGTAGACTCCACCTGTATAACATAGCCAATTCTTACTCTGTATAGGCTTATTCAGGCATATTCCATATGTTACCGCTAGGATTGCGTGTGCAAGACAAGCTTGAGCGTCTGATTGACAAGCATATGCGTTCAGTTGGTATGTCCCATTATGCGTCTTGCGCTAGAAGTTCTCTGATGTGATTTTAGGAGCGTCAAAAGTTTCGTTGTCGTCCATATCTTCCCAGGAACTCTGGGAGCGATCAGGACGCTTAGGGGAGGGTTCAGAGGTACAGTAATATCTCCGATCTCTTACAAATTAAAGGCCTCTAACAGTGTATGCTAGGTGTTCAGATTCCATGACAGGAAAGAATCTCGCTACCTTCTTGCTCCTACTCATGAGGAGGAAATTACCACTCTAGTGGGCAGTCTGGCCAAATCGTACAGAGATCTACCTATACGAGTATACCAAATCTGTGAGTTTGCATGTAAAAATCGACGGTTTATCCGCTGACATTTTACGATGTAGCGAGGAAGTATCGTGATGAAGCAAGACCAAGACAAGGTCTACTTCGTGGGCGAGAATTCATCATGAAGGATCTCTACACGTTCGACTGCACCGTGGAAGAAGCTTTGAAGACGTATACATCTGTGAAAGCTGCTTATACACGACTATTCAACGACCTGAAGATACCCTATCTGGTTGCTGCTGCAGATTCCGGCAATATGGGCGGCAACCTAAGTCACGAATTCCACGTGCCCAGCTCCAAAGGAGAAGACACGGTCATCAGCTGTACTAGCTGCGACACTGTCTATAATGACGAGCTTGCAGACGGGAAAATCCATGAATTTGGAGACAATGAAAGCGCCCAGGCCAGTGCCGGGTTTGACACTGGAGATATATCACCTGAAGCAGCACCGACCATTTCTACAGGTCTCTGGATGTCCATTTCCCAGGACAAACGGACGCTTCTGAGAGGATGGTATCCGAAATTCTCCATGCAAGGCGAAGGCCAGGAGCCAGTGGAAAGAGAAGTGAACTCCCATGCTGTCAAGTCCGTAGCCAACGCTGCAGGAATCGATCTTGACCTCAGCATAGAGAACCCGTTAGAACAGTGGGCAACCGAAGTGAAGTCTAGGAAGGCACCCGGCCCTTACCGTGTAGTGGACTTGTATGACTCGCAGGTGCGAGTGTACAAACGCCCACCGCTGAGCGACTTGCTGGATCAAGCAAACTGCAAGGTGGAAGACATTGACTACTCTATGCTGGATCAGTTCCCTGGCACAAACAATGGCCTCAGCCTTGTCAAGGTTCAAGATGGCGACAAGTGCGCCAAATGCGCTCAAGGTCATGTGAAGACCCAGGTCGCGATTGAACTGGGCCACACCTTCCATCTTGGCACAAGATACAGTGAAGTTCTTCAAGCCTCTGTCATGGTGGACCAATCCTCATCTGGCAGCTCGGAAAATCAGGTCGTGCCCATGCAAATGGGCTGTCATGGAATCGGTGTTTCACGTATGATCACGGCGGTTGCTGACAGTCGAGCGGATTCCAAGGGGCTCAACTGGCCCCGCGCGGTGGCTCCGTTTGAGGTTATTGTGGTTCCTGCGAAGGGCCTGGAGGAAGAAGCCGAGAAGGTATACGACACGCTTACTTCCAACCCAGCATCTCCAGTCGATGTCATTCTTGACGACCGAGACAAGCAAATGGGGTGGAAATTGGGAGACGCCGACCTGATCGGCTACCCCATCATAGTTGTGGTCGGTAAAGGGTGGAAGAAGGAGCAAACATTAGAAGTGCAGTGCCGTCAACTAGACGACCTACGGGAGAATGTGCCGCTAGAGCAGCTCTCGACATTTATTCGGTCCTTACTCGAGCGTCTGTAGAGTGAGGGCTTCTGGGATTGTATTTTACAGAAGATCAATTGTACAATATTCCTCTCTTGTTCACCCCCACCGATATCAAATCATGAACCACCGAGAGAAGGCCGCGACGTATTGCCATGCCGCCTAGGGATAGTGGGTTTAATCTGGGTAATTCGCACCTGGTCAGCTGGGACCTTTTAATTCCGGAGAAGGCGAAGGCTCTGCGGCGGCAGGTTCCAGGCTTTCGCCACCTTTCAGCCTCTTAACTCGTAATCCCCCAGGTTAGTCTCATGGAAAACACCCTGGTTTGCTCACTAACCTACTGATCTCCCCGATTTACTCCGTGGAATCCGCCCATTGAACTTGACGGGTTTCCCGTGTTTGTCTCATTTACCCGCTCGGTACCACCGCCCTCACAATGAAAATGGTCTGGAGAATTCTTCCCAGATGTCATGGGATCGGGAACTTCAAAACACCATGAGGGATTCAGCGCTGCATTCGTCGGATTCTTCTTTGTATGTACAACAAGCCGGGTACTCTCCTGACTATATATAGCCACCTCATTGTGAAACGAAGTATACCGTGACACCAGTGGATTCAGCTGCAGAAAGAGATCGGTCAGCAGTGTGGCTTGGCACAGCGAGGCTCTTTCATGGTGGGGTCATCCATGTCGACGATCATGAAAAGAAAGATTATTTCCGGTCTGATGTCGTACATACGATTGGGGCAGTGGTGATGCTCTGATTGGTAACCTCCTCCAGGCTGGATTCACAGCCTACGAAGGCTGGAACTTGTTCTCCTGCACCGGGAACTACAAAGTTCTATACAATATAAAAGATATATAAGAACTCTCCATCCCTCTCTCGTTTCCACAGTTGCTCCCATCACACAGCACAGTACTTGCACATTTCATCTTTCCAAAAGACTTTCGTTCCTACACTCTATCCAAACACTCACCGATCGTCTTTGCTTATCATTTCGAATCGCAATGAGTACTATTAACAACAAGCCAGTCGTCAGAACTGGCGTCAATATCTTCATCTTTAATGACAAAGGTCAATTTGTGCTGGGACGCCGAAAAGGCAGCCATGGTGCAAGTATGCTTCTTCATCCCTCTTCCCCAAGTTCCCCACGTTGAGATTTCCGCGATCCCCTCCCTCTAAGCTCCTATATACGTTGATCAAGCATACTAATATTTTCAGACACCTGGGGTCTCCCTGGAGGCAAAATGGAGTTTGGCGAAGACTTCGAAGACTGCGCAGAGCGCGAAGTTAGAGAAGAGACGGCCTTAAAATTCTCCGACCTTGAATTCCTTACTGTTACGAACGATGTCTTCACGGAGAAGAATACGCACTACACTACCAACTTCTTTGTGGCCAAACTTGACGGTGACCGAAAAGATCCTCTGGTAAGTCTCAAGCCGGGTCACTTGTATACTTGGACTTGACACTAACAACCCAATTCTCCATAGCTCATGGAGAAAGATAAATGTCTTGGATGGAAGTGGTTCACCTGGGGAGAAATCGAGGAGCATTATAAGGCACCTGATGCAGTTAAGAAGGACAAGAAAAATAAATTTGAGGGGCAGGAACTGTTCCTCCCTATGTTGAGCTTGTTCCGGCAACGAGCGGGGCTTCATCCACTGAAGGCATATGAAGCGAGACTAAGAGAAGTACACAAGGAGCCTGTGATCGGTCTTGCATCCAGATGATCGTTCTTCATTCTGGCCGTCTGCTCATACCTCGATTATGGGAGGAATTGAGGACCGAATGACATACGCTATGCCTTTCCAGGCCAGTTGAGACCAATTCTGGATGTTTTTTCTTTTTATTCTGCGACATACAATACGACGATACGTCCCCAAATACGATGGATCGTTTCTGCTTCCTTCCTTCCCCTTCAACGATTTGTGTCGCGTGCTAGTCACCCTAGTCGCACTTCCTATTACTTTTAGTATGAATTATGAGTACGTTGTTGATGGTTTTGCTCTGTCATCTCATAGATAGGATATGTCTGTCAATCTGCACGGACGAGAGTATAAAAACGTTTGGTTATAGTAATTCTATCTCAGTAATCATGGACTCATCACTTTGTATGCACGTCGAATAAATATACATTCAATCACAACACACCTATTCCAACAACATAGCATCTTCTTTCTAATGAAGATCAATAATCAAACTAAAACCAAACTCAAACCACATTCTAATCCAAAAAAAGAAGAAACATCAAGCCCCCACCCCTCCATCCCAACCCTTTATAATCTAATGTATACACCAACAACCCAAACATAAAAAGCACAACCATGACTAATCAACATACCAAACCACACAACACAATTACATAATCCAGAAAACCCCCACCATACCCAAAAAGGCAACCTGCTCTCGCGGCCCGCGGGCATAATCAATCCCAAATCACAACCAAAACGATATCTACCAACCGAACGAGGAAAAAGAACGCAATCCCTCGCACCGGTATCATTCTTCTAGCTGAAAAGTCTACCGTCCCGTATAGAGCCAACTCGGACTGACACGGTATAAGGGGAACGGGAAAAGAGCCATTTGCATACATCAACATGGCCCCTCAAGATACCCCCGCATCGGAGGCTCCTGCGGGCTCAGGTACGGCGAATCCTTTCTGATATGGCTGGCGGGTGGGGGTTTGGACAGCTAATCATGGGATGGATGGGCAGTGAATATCAACTCGCTTTCGGTGCCGCAGCTGCGGGCGCTGCAGACTCGTCTTTCGTCGGAATTGGAACATTTGACCTCGTCGCATGCGAAGTTGCGCGCGGCGCAGTCGAAGTTTCGGGATTGTGTGCGGTCGATTAACGAGGGTGTTGTTGGGTCTGAGAAGAGGGGGACCGATGGAAAGGAGGATATCTTGGTGCCTTTGACAAGCTCGTTGTATGTCAAGGGCAAGCTGGCCGACCGGGAGAAGGTGCTTGTAGATGTTGGAACGGGATTCTATGTCGAGAAGGTGAGCTTATGTTACCTTTTTTAAGGGTTGGTTTAAAAGCTGATGGTCTATCTCTGGGCAGACTGCGAAAAAGGCAATTGAGTTCTACGAGGACAAGATTAAGAGTCTAGAGACGAACCTCACAGAGTTGGAAAAGATTGTACAGACGAAGGGCTCCCAGCAAAGACTCTTCGAGGAGGGTAAGTTGAATATAGTTCCATATTATTCTTTAACTGGCCCGCACTCAGCCTGCGAATGCGTACCGTAAGCTAACTATGACTAGCTCTGAGACAAAAGTTGCTTAGCGAAGGCGCCCCATCATCTGCTGCTGCCGCTGCGGGCGGTGGTTAAATCCTGTCAAACGCTTTGCAGAGGCGTTCGATCATCCAGTGAGCGGTCGGGGCAAAATAGTCAACAGAAATAATAGAGAATGGTATCTGTTACAGTAAGTGTTGGCAATGGCAAACCATCAACCGTTTCGCATGTAAGCTCCTGCTTTGCCGGCTGAGAAACATCGCATGCTTCCAAGGCTTTCGCAGAGATGTAAGACACGTTAAAACCCACATGGTCGATGAGACATTGAGCCCGCACAATGAAGTGAAGATGCAACGAAGCAAAAGCAAATTGGCCCTTCACCCTAAACTTTGAGCCATGATATTGTTGGACACGCCTATGAGTTAGTGACCCGTGGCTCTCACAAAGATCAACTTCATCTGTTTAGAATAGAGTACCCAGGTCGGCGTCCAACATCCCAGCAAGACCCCTCGCGTCAGGCTTGGGCGAGGATTCATTTGAGGGTGGTTGGCTTTTGGTTGCAGTAGGAACTATCGAGGACTCAGTGCCCGCCTGCATTTTCCTGGCAGTATTCTCTGAGCTGGAATGGGGTTGCGCTGGGCCTAGTACTTCTGCCACTCGCTTTACTAAGCTAATAAACTCCCAGAAGCCCACGCTCTTGTCATCCGAATCTGATGTTGCCTTCGGGGGGAAGAAAGTGTGAAGCTCTGGGCTGTGGCGTGCGGAATGTCCAACCGACAGATTGGCTTGCTCTCCCATCAAGTTATCCCAGTTGGAATCAAATATAGATGCGCCCCAGGAAGTGGACGGGACGTCACAGATCCCACCCGTCATAAAAGCTGGTGCTGGTGCTTTTCCTTGAAAAGCATCCGTCTTTGAGCGACTATATTCATCGTACCTCGCTATTTCCAATATGTACTTGGTGCCTTTCAATCGGCACCGGATGGAGGTCTTTTCCACAAATCTGGATACCGGCGCTGAGCTCGGAAAGATCACCTTTCTCTTAGGCTTTGCAGAAATGTCACCTATGGTTGTAGTGCGTCGGAAGGCGATAGAGTGCGAAAACGATTTTAACGCAGCATCGATGGAAGATGTCTCGTAGAACTCCAGAGATTTGATTTCAAGTTGCCAGTCGGCTCTAACAAGGACTCAGTTAGGTAGAACCGAAGAAAGATACGCATTACCTACCTTTCGAAATCAATGATACAAATCTGGAGGGGTGGCCTTCCGTCGCTTGACTGGCCGCTTCTGCGAGGCTTAAGCCATCGGCGTTGGGTTACTTCATAGTCCTGCGCCCCAGGGCTTCTCGCAAATTCCGCTTCGAGACGAAGTAGGGCATTATTTGAACCCAGGAATTCGAAGTTCACGGAATATGCAGGCTCGGCGTTTTTCAGCGAACAGGCTGTACTTTCGTAAGGCTCGAGAAGATCGGTAGATTGGAAACATCTAGCCAAGAGCTCATCTTGACCGACCCGTAACCTGTTCGTAGGATATTAATGACTCGGACACATAAATAGTCGGTAGTTCCTACCCTGGAATCAAGCGGCCTTTTGTTTGCTCATGCAATAGCATCTCTCTGAACTCCTCAAAGCTATACCCAGCTTTGTCGTCCTTGGGCATACGATACTCATCAAGCACAAACGAACCAAGGTTAACACGCATGCGCAAGTGTCCACGGACGAAGGAGACACCTTGTAAAGATCTTGAAAGGGCACTCAAAATATGTGCGTTATTCTTTGTCTGTATCAAGGTACGTCGATTCTGCCACTGCTCTGACGGAAGGCTCTTCACCCTCTTTCCATAGAGAAAAGCCTTCGCAAAGAGAGTCATGTTCTCCACGACAATCTTGTCTCTCAGGATTTCTGGAGACTCTGAAATATAGACCTTCGAATTAACATGGCTATTGGCAACGGCCTCACTCCACTTAGTTCTAAGAAGCTGTGCGATCTGCCTCATCGTATCATGGCTGTGACCAAGAGCACATATATAGTCTGGGACATCCTTTGGACGGTAGAGGTGGCAGCCAAATTTCGCCCGGATGATATCGAGAGCCTCGAGTTGTTCTCCAAGGGACTCCTTGATCGGTGGACCATCTTTCGGCCACAAAAAAAAGAGCTTGGGTAACGGATCTGTTAGAAAAGCAAATATAAGTTCATATTTTAATATGCTGACTGACCTGCTCTGGAAAAGCTGAAGGCGATTCCGGTTCTTTCCTCAAAAGCAGAAGCATATTTTCATGTCTTTCCTTCAAATCAACGCCCATTTGTTTGTTTGCTGAATAGGCATTGATTTTAGCCCATTCTGTCTTTTTGTGTGTGGGTAAAAAGCTATTGCATTTGGCAAGAAGCCTTTCAATTATTTCTATGGCCGAAGCCACGTCTTGTGGTTTACCCCATAGCTGAATGACCTACAGTGAATTAGCACACTATAGTTCGCTGGCAATAAACTGCTAAATGGCCTACCTTGTCAGTATAAGATGGAGGTTTCACATAGGCGCCTGTTCTTTTGCTAATATCCTCGAAGACTTCATGACGACCTTGGCTGGCTGCAGGGGATTTTGCTGAAAGAGTTGATCTTGCTACCCCAAAGAACCTATACGCCATATAATAGTGAGTACTTGCATGGGGGAAAGCGAGCTGAAGGTGCTTACTCGTACTTAAAACTGCCAAAAGAGGCAGGGAGCTTGAAAATTGCTTCAGTATTACCCAGGGTTGTGTTAGCCTATTGGCATCCGAAACTAAAGAGAGCTTACCGGACGGCTCACTACCAGCTCTCCAATTTGATTTGGCAGGTGAGTCACGGAGAAGATTGCTCGATTGGCGTGAGGCTGCGGTGTTAGAGTATGCCCGTCTAGCCTGTACACGCCCCCTTGTTGCCCTCGGTGCACCTCTAGCACGCCCAGTGCTATTGGCCACAGGAGCTGCGGTAACTGTGGCAGTAACTGCGGCATATGAGGCCCGCGGTTTTTTCTGTGTCCCTGTCTCATTCCGGATACTATCTTTGGATAATATTATGCGAGCCTGATCAGTTTTTGCTTGAGTGGTTCCTCCATGACTTTTCAATGTGGGCCGCCCGTAACCGGGTAGCAACCATTCTATATGAGACGAATATCGGTCAATGAACAATTAATTTGGGTAGAACCTGAGGTAGTAAGGGGCAGGAATTTTCTTTTGCTTCCTGCTGAGATTGTCTTACCTTTAGCTCCCGCGGTTTCGTGACTGCAACAGTGTTAGCATAGAAAGACTAGACGGGAGGGCGGCCACTAGTTGCTTCAGGTGAGAGGTAGAAAGATGAACCAGAATAGGGAACTCACTCCATGTCTTTTATCAAGGGGAGGCTCGCAACAGAGGTGAAGCTCTCGGATAGAAATAGCTGAAAACAAGGGCGCAAAAGCAGCGGGTAAGCTGATGAGAATGGGGTGAGTAGAAGGTAGCAGAGGAGGGAGAGATGTGATAACTAGATTAAGCTTTAAGTTAATACGCCTAACTCAGCAGGATCTGAGGTGGAAGTAAATGACAAGGGTTCCTTTGTTCAGAGGATGATAAGGGAATGAAGGTGAAAGTGAAGGAATATTCGCTGATGATGAATATAGAAAGTGCCTGGTCACGATGTGAGAATCCAGTGACCTGCACCAAAGCCCTCACGAGCATGTTTACCATGATTGAATACAACACCGTTGCTTCTGAAACAGTCGGTTGGTGGCGTTGGTACCAAACGAGGATGGCTCAATGCATTCAGTGATATTGAATCAGTCGATGCTACTATTTTTGGGATTATATCGGACAATATTCCTCAATAGTTTGAAGTAGTATTTTTATTATACCTTTCTAACTGTACTACCTTGGGGACAAAATAAAGAAAATCAAGCTAAGCTGTGTCTGATATTTCTTTGTATACAGCTAAGATTATATAGATCAGATAGAGATGTATGATTGGACAGGGCAGAGCAATGGGGCGCTAAACCCGAAATGGGGTAAAGTGGACTGCGCGCATTTGGACGCGTTGTGGATCCATTTTCAACCTTCTTTTGTTTGCTGGTCAATTGTCGCAAACCATCCCTTCCGCCAGCAGCTATTTGCCCATTTTCTTCCAAGAAGATGGCCACAGACATTGAAGATGAGAATGATATTCCGCAGTCTCGCAGGCGTAGTGCGCGCAAGCAGGCCCAGCAATGGATGACTAAAGGAGGTCTTGTTCGCGATGATTCTGATGACGAGCTTGGTGATGAAGACCTTCCGTGGGAATGGATATATGCTGCCGATACTACTGAAAAAAAGGAGGACGCTATATCGGGTGCCCCAGAAGATACACCAAGGTCAAACCGAAGACGCACCTCCCGGGCCAGCGCAAAGAACCGTCGACCAATCGTGGGAGCCCGGATGGGTTCGTTTGAATGCAAATTGGGTCAGGTCGTGCTGCTTAAATCCCCAGAGCCTGGTAAAGATTGGGTGGGAATCATCACGGAATTTATAGAGGAAGAGGATGAAGCGGACGGTGAAACGATCAAGTCCGCCAACATCATGTGGTTTGCTTCGCCAGACGAATTCATGTCGACAAGGAACAAGAGACGAGCAGACGCTTTGCCTAATGAGCAGTACCTTACAGCCGACTTCAACATCAATCCAATCACATCGATTAGCGGTAAAGCAACGGTAATGTCCAAGGATGCTTTCTTCGCCAAGTATCCGGATGGGGCTCCGCCGAAGGGAAAGGAACAATTGTCAGACTACAACAAATGCATTGTCTGCCGTAGAGGTGTGAATCAACTTCAAGGGAGATACACCGAGGAATTCGTCTGGGAAAATGTCTATCGGGAGGATAAGATCTTCGATCTGATTGCTATGATCAAGGACGGCTTGAAAAAAGCCAAGAAGCGAAAGCAGGGTGATGATGATGTGAGCTCCGACCGACCCTGCTCGAAGATTAAGATATTCTGACATTTGGAACAGTATGATGATGCCAAGGACAAAGAAGATGATGAATTTCAGCCTGTGACACCAAGAAAGAAGCAGAAATTAACTACGAATGCTACACCACAGTCACGACGCCAAAAAGCTCTGACCACCCCAACCCATAAGAGGTTTGTGACATATATCCGATTAGACATAGGCAATCCCGGTGCTAATGGCATGTTCCACAGAATTGTTGTCAAAAAACCCCTCGAGTTTACCCCGTTAGGCACTCGTATACTGTCTCCATCCCATTTCGCTTCTCCATATCGCCAGGCACGAACTCTTCTACATGTCTCCACGGTACCTACCTCACTACCGTGCCGGAAGGCTGAATTCGATACTGTGTACAACCACCTTAGCGCTGCCATCATGGAAGGCACCGGAACTTGTATTTATATTTCGGGTACACCTGGAACTGGCAAGACGGCAACAGTCCGCGAGGTGGTCGCACAGTTGAACGCAGCCGTGCTTGCAGAAGAGATGGACGACTTTATTTTCGTTGAGATCAATGGCATGAAAGTCACCGATCCACATCAGTCGTACTCATTGCTTTGGGAAGCCTTGAAGGGCGATAGGGTGTCTCCTTCCCATGCGCTTGATCTTCTCGAGAGGGAATTTTCACATCCATCACCTCGACGTGTCTCATGCGTTGTTCTCATGGATGAACTTGACCAACTGGTAACTAAAAACCAGTCTGTGATGTACAATTTCTTTAACTGGCCTGCTCTCCGCCACTCCCGCCTCATTGTGCTTGCTGTCGCAAACACTATGGACCTCCCTGAGCGAACACTAAGCAACAAGATTTCCAGTCGTCTGGGTCTTACTCGTATCACATTCCCCGGCTACAAACACACGGATCTCATGGAAATCATAAGCACCCGCCTGGCCAACATCCCAGGAAACATAGTCGACGCAGACGCCATCCAATTTGCAAGCCGAAAGGTGGCTGCTGTTAGTGGCGACGCTCGACGCGCATTAGACATCTGCCGCCGAGCAGTAGAGATTGCCGAACAGGCCAGCGAGGCCGCAAAACTGGAACCGATTCTAGAAGATGGCAACGCAGACGAAACCGAATCCATGCCACCAACACCTAGCAAGACTCCTGCGAGAAAGGAAAGATCAAACAACAAGCAGTCCATGCCGCCAAAAGCTCAACCGCCACGGAAACAAGGACGTGTCACTATCGCCACAATCAAACAAGCCATCCAGGAAGCAACCTCAACCCCGCTTCAGCAATCCCTACGCTGTCTCCCACTCTCCGCGAAGCTTTTCCTTGCCGCTCTCTTGGCTCGTGTGAAAAGAACCGGGATCACCGAATCAACCTTTGGCGATGTACTCGACGAAGCGAAGCGGATTGCAGACGCTGCGGTCGCAGTCGCTGGTGCGGCTGGTGCAGGCATCAAAGAATACCTACTCAGTGGTGGGAGTGGTGCTCGCGTGCGTGCTCTAGGCTTTGCGGCTATGGAACTCATGAATTCTGGAGTTCTTGCCCTGGAGCACGGACCGGCGACGAAAGGCCCTCTGGGAAGCTCTGCCATCCCCAGTAGAGGGGACAGAAGTGGTAAAGTTAGGCTGAGGGTGGCAGCTGAAGACGTAAGGGCTGCTTTCCGGGAAGATATAGAGGCAAAGGGGTTAGGGCTGGGCACGGATCAGTAATTCTCTGTACGAGCAAGACGACAGTCTTTCGGACCAACAGCTCCTGCATCCTATGATTGGTAATGTACACACACATGTATGATTTCTGTGTCCGATGTCCTCATCGTTTGGGCTATGTATTCTACAAAGTGATTTATTAATCGAATAATGATACCCACTTGTACGTCAAGCGACATGTCGACTACAAGCCCTGAAGATAAACCAAGTTTAACAGCATAAATCGAGCAAGTTTCGGAATGTTCAAAGCTTAATATGACACAACAAGAGTAAATTCCTTTTATAAACCTGACCAAATCCCAGTACTAGTCACAGACAACAAACAGTACATCTCGAACGCTAAACTCCATAAGTGCGTGAAGTAAACATGCCCGATTCCTATATCAGATCCAGACCAATGAAGGGTATAAAAATGACAGACGGCCAACAACAACACCAACCTAATATCTCTGTCTGCCAAGAGTGGGAGCCCAAGTCACAGGGTGCGACTCAGGTGTAGCCTCATCATCTGGCTTCCAGATCTTGATGGTCTTATCTGCCTCACCAGTGATCAGACGCAGACCAGTCCGGTCGAACGTGGCAGCCATGATGCCTGCCTCGGCATCGAGCGAACCGGGTTGGGCCATGGTATCGATCGACTGGAAACGGTATCCGGTCTTCCAGTCCCAGAAAGACATGGAGCCGTTGTCGCCACCGGAGAAGAGAACGTTGTCTTCGTTCACGGCGAGAGAGTTAATGACAGCATTATGACCCTCGAAGTTTTGCATGAAGTCACCCTCTGGACACTTCCATTGCTTGATGCTTCCTGTGCTGGCACTGGCGAATGTAAATTCCCGAGGATGGATAGCAAGGTTTCGGACACCCTTCTTGTGGTGGGTTAGAACACCCATTGACTTTCCGGCTGCAAGATCCCAGAGACGAACGGTGGCGTCCAGGGAACCAGTAATGATTTGTGGATCAGCTTCCTGGCACTTGACATCGGCAACAGTTCCTTTATGGCCAGATAAAACGTGAACATTACTCCTCGTTCGCATATCCCACACTCGGGCAACGCCGTCTCGACCACCAGTGACCAGCAGGTCGAGGCGAGGGTGTAGAGCAAGCGTATATACACCACTTAGGTGACCGTGGTAATGACGAATAACCTTATTAGTCTCCAGATCCCAACATTTCACCATCTTGTCCTCTCCGCACGAGAAAAGATAAGGATGCCGAGGAGACACCGCCAGCCCGCGAACGGTAGAAATGTGACCCGTAAGAGTCAGGCGCAGAGCGCCAGTCGCCAGATTCCAAATTTTTATCGTTCGGTCACCAGCACCACTGGCAAACCACTCGTTGTTCGGCTCCACCGCCAGACTTCGCACCCATCCTAAATGTCCAGAGATCACTCTCATCAGCTTCCATGGTGCGTGCCAGTCGGGTCTCTGTTGTCGCGTCGCGGAGGGTCGCTGGATCAGGCTCTTGGGTTGGTCTTCATTGCCAAGGCCACCAGCAGCCGGGCCTTGAGCTTTCTTCACCAGGGCCATTGAGGCGCCGCTGCCATCTACAGGCGCCTTCGCCTGGGCTTGGATTTTGGGACGTTTCGTGCGCCCGGCGGCTGCTTTGGCTTGCTTCTCTGCTAGAGCTGGCGGGAGTTCCTTCACATGTTCATATTCCACTTTCCGTCTGTAAGAAACACCAATCGATCCATCTCCAGTCGAGGGTGTGACCATCAGATAATCCGCGCCGAAAAGTTCAGCAGTCCTCTTTGCGGATCTGCGCACGGCCTCTTCGGGCGTAGTCGACGGGATAACGTCCATACTTGTGATATTTTTGAGATCGTAGATTGAGATTGTAGAACGACGAATGGCTTGGATCGCCGACAGCGAGATGGTAGGCGAGAGAACGTGTCGTTCGCGTCTGGAACCCCGGGCAAAGGGGTTCTGACGGTTAGTTGTCAATAACAGCAAATTACTGCCTCATTCAAATTTATTGTTAAGCGATTGGACAACACGCGCGAACTGGTGGCAAGGATCGTTGGAGAGTAAAGATTGGCGATGACGAGTCGGAGGTTTGGTTGCGGTTCCTTTTTTGACTTTTGGCGGAGAGCTACAGAAGATCTGCCTGAGGCGGTAAGGCATGTTCCAGGTGTCGACGGCAAAGCTCCCCCTCCACCAATAGCTCCGATCTTATCATGAGCAGCTCTCCGACCCGCATCTATAAATTCTATAGCACATCATCATGGACCCTCAGCACGATGCCAAGTTTCCTCTACATGAGGCCGCTCGAGAGGGAAAGAGTAAGCGCAATTTGGTAGTCTATGAAATTATCATACTTACCAACAGTTGACAGCTCAGGTGGCCGAGTCACTTCTGAACGTAAGTGCTGCCCCGCATCATCCGGAGCTGCCTATCTCCCTTTTCTGGCCAGAGCAGTCGCAACCACCGGAGTGTATCATGGTTGCTTACTCTCAGGCTTAATAGGCAAATCCGAAGCTTGCGAGTGTCAAAGATGACGACAACCGTCTCCCCATCCACTGGGCTGTAGCGTACAATCGGCTTCCTATCGTGGAGCTATTAGTCGCCACCAAGAACTTCGATCCAGATGTTGAGGTAGTCTCCTACTCTTACTTACTGTGGCTGCTATACACACAGAGGTAACCTCAGTTATTAATGATCAGCCACTTACTTTGTATCACAGGATGGTTCAGGCTGGACCCCATTAATGATCGCAGCTAGCCTAAAGAACGCCGAAGGAGATCCCATCATCGACCTACTCTTGAAGAAGGGCGCAGACGTAAATGTGACGAGTAACTCTGGACAGGTCCGTCTAATTCTATCAACCGGAGTTTTGTCAGCTCACTAACTGTAAATCTAATTCCAGAATGCTCTCCATTTCGCAACCTCTAAAGCCAGCCTTTCCACCGTTCGCACCTTAATAGCCAATAAATGCAGCGCCAGAGTGAAGGATAAGCGCGGGCAACTAGCACTTCATCGTGCCGCAGCTATCGGATCGTCACCCATCATTAAGGTTCTTCTCCAAGATGGGAAAAGTCCCGTCAATGCCGCGGATGTGGACGGTCTGACTGCTCTGCACCATGCTATCTCCGAGGGCCACGGTGAAGCTGCGATCACTCTACTTAAGGCTGGTGCTGAAACGGATAAGAAGGACGCCAATGGCACTTTGGCTATTGATATGGCGCCAGATACAAGTGTAAGTATTCCATTCTCCCCCGCAAAACATCCTTTAGACACGTTCTCTGGCTATATAACTAACCTTGTTAAGGTTCGAACATATATTCGGCAGACTGCAGAAATGGAGGGTATAGAAATCTAAGAGACGTAAAACATGGTTATGAATATCCGGAGCCTTCCACGGCCCATAATAATGGTCCAACATTAGCAATTAAAAGAGATATTATATTCTTTTCTGAAAAAGTCCTGTTTCGCATAACATCGTCTAATCGGTATCGAATGTCCAGGCAAATACTATGTACAGAAGTAAAAAAGATTTCCTTTCAAGAGACGTCTATAAGCTCTCATTTCATGGTACTATCCACCAGCTCGCGGTAGATTTTCTTGACTTCGGCAATATCAGCCTGGAGCTCTTCCACTTGTTCACTCTTTTCCCCTAGCAGCTCAAGAGTAGTCTCGTAACGCTCCTCTAGCTCGGCATGTCGCCTCTCTAGTTCTTGGATACGGGCGTCTGCTATCTTTTTCTCCTCGGATTCTCGCATCAGATCCACAACTTGTTGGCGGGCTTCATCGCGTTGGCTTACGATACGAGCAAGCTCATCTTTCGTGGCAGCTCGTTCGCTTTCCAATCGGCGAACTGTCGCACTCATACGCTCCACCAGCTGGACCGATGGACCAGCACCAACCGTGGATTCCGAGATAATGTCATTGATTCCCCGGGAGTTTTGGGTCAGTGCTCCACCAAACGCGGATGGCGTGCCCGGCCGGGCAGAGAACTCATCTGGTTCGAAACTAATTGAGGGGGTGTCCGTAAATTGCGAGAAGGGTGCGCTGTGTGTCGGAGGTGAAAGGAGACCAGACGTAGATGGGAATGAGTTCTGTCGTGTCGGTGTGCCTACTTCTGGCGATGTCATGGGCAGAGTCGAGGACCGGCGACTTGAACGTAAGTCAGTGAGAGAACCTACAGGCTCCAGGGCACTCGGTCGGCGATTGTACGCTACTGGTGACTCGGTGCGTTGTGGCTGTGTGAAGATGGCAGGAGGCACAACCTGCTCGCGCCATTTCACTCGTTCTTCCTCCAGCTTCTGTGCCCACGTTGCATCGCACACTTTCTTCTGTTCATCGAAGTCTTTCTGTGCCGAGACTAAATCGTCTGCAGCCTTGTGAAGTTTCTGCTCCAGTTTTTGCAGCTCCTGCATGCGTTCCTCTAGTTTGTTTTCAAGATCATGCTCGACCTCTTTTGCGTCTTCTAGGTCTTCCTCAGCCCTTTTAGCTTTGAGGTTCTGTACGTATATGTTAGTCTCTATTTCCTCACAAAAAAGATTGAGTTAGAGCAAATCATTCTTACCACTTCCCGAACTCTCCGCCGTAGGTCCCCCTCTCGGCGTGTGGCTTCGTCTCGTTCTTTCTCTACGTTCGCTAAGCGCGCAAGTAATGAACCCTCCAACGCCTGCCAATTTTCACTGGCTACAGCATACTGCGTCTGCAATGTCTCGATCTGGCGAAGAAGCTTTGCTTGAGCATCACCAGCTACCCCGGATGAAGCCTCTTCCGCTCTAGAGCGAAGAGACTCCATCTTGCTCTCCAAGACGGATTGCTCGTTCTTTAGTTCGACCTCCAGTACTCGTGCCCTTTCCTTCTCCTGCTCGATGGTACTCTTGAGGTCGCGTATCTCTATCTTCAGAGTTTCCTCACTCTCATCACGCTCGGCCTTGATGCTTGCCAGTTCTTCTTCCAGCTCGGCCGCATGGCGCTTTTCCTGCTCCAGCGCATCTGACTGAGCTTTGGCTTCAGCTGCCTCAGCCCGCGCAACTGCTCTGGCAAGTTGACCTTTCATTTCCTGAATCGTTTGACTCAATGCATCTCGCTCCGCTGTGACTGCTTCAAGATCTCGTGAGTTTTTTGAATGAGAGGACAGTGTTTCATTGGCTCGCTTTTCGGCAGCTTCAGCCCGCTTAGCCCTGGCCTCAGCGTTGGCCAGATCTCTTTCCAGTTTTTCTGTTTTCTTGTGATTTTCAGTTTGTACTTTCGAATTCTCCGCCAATTGCTGCCGAAGTTTCTTGATCGCCGTACGATGGTCCATCTCGGATTTCGAAAGTTTCTGTCCTTCTTCGAGCAACAATGCGATCTTCTCGTCCTTCTCTCGGAGCTGCCTCTCCATACTTCCAGGTGCTTCCGCCGCCCCCGCTTTCTTGGCGGCCTCAGCAGCTTCTTTAGTCAAATACTTCAGCTTCGATTGTAATGCGTCAATTCGCTCAATATGTTCGTACATTTCTGCTTGCCAGCGTGACTCGGCTGCCTTGTGTTCTGCCTGTAATTGTGCGATAGTTTTGTCCGCATCGTTGGAGACAGGCTCGATGATATCACTCGAATCATTTGCAGTGTTCTGGGCAAGGCCCTCAGATGAACGTGGTTTGTCAGCTTCGGTTTCCTGTACCTTAGGTTCAACGCCATTTTCTTGTACAGCTTCAGTGCCCCTCTCTGAGTTAGCCTCTTGCGATTCGGAAACTTCATTCGATGCGCGCGAGGCGACAATATCTCTTGAGTTTCGTGGTGGGTTGCTGTCATGACTTGTTCTGGAGGCTGCTATTGAGGAAGATTCATCGGTAGGAGTAATGTTCTGGGCACTTTCTTCGAGATTGAGGCTGCTACGTCCAAGATTCGACTCAATGTCCATGCTCGACCGCGCGCCATTGCTCGAAACCGGACTAGTGACGGGAGAGGGGACTCGACTTGAGGATTGAGAAGCGGGATTGGCATTGGTATTCGATTTGACAACAGCGCGAGCCAGACGCTCCTGAAGGCGATCATTTTTCCGCGCATTTGATGAACTTCGCGAAAGATCTAGATCCGTTAGTATGCGACGGAATATATTGAGCACAAATCAAATCGGAAAATCCATACCGCCAGTCTGGTTCTTCGTCGCCGTGCTTGGTTTTGGCTGTAGCTGTTGGCGCTGGTCCTCATCGGCCAGGATCAAATCCAATTTCGATTCAACACCGGCGACAGCCTGCTGCAGGAAGGATCCAACCTTCCATTTTGGTTGTGCCATAATGATAATGCGGTTGGGGGTGTCTCAATCAGAGGTATGAACCAGCTACTTCTAGCAGCAAGTCCGACAGGCTCTCTGGCATGAAAGGCGGTGGTCTTTGATAATGATGAAGTGGTTAGATATTTGCCTGTCGTCACACACGCACTACAGAGGAAGTGGAACTAGGCCGAGCGATGATTGCTGCCTTTCCTGCGGGGAAAATGAGCGTGGGGGTGGAGTGATATAGGGAGCGAAGGAGTTGAAAACGAAACGAGAGACTAGAGGCTAGACTAGAAGATATAAAGAGACATGAAACAGACAAGGACGATTGCAACCACGTAGCAGGAGTACGAACGCTGGTGTCTGGCTTGTGTGGACGAGAAGGTGGGAGAGATTACTGATTGAATGGGGTTTAGTATGGGTCTTGGCGGGAGGATGGGGAACAACGTGAACACCGGAGCTTTCCTCCATTCGTAACACTCGATCATCATAGATCTCCAGCCCTCTCTCTTCATCTTCAGTCCACCCCTCCTCAACGTCTCGGTTTTCTTCTCTTCTCGCTGTTCCGGGTAGGCTCCATTTCTACCTTGCAATAGCGGCACTATGTCGACCATGCCTTTGGAGCCGCCCATGTACCTCAGCTCTCTCCAGAACAACATCCGAGCTCGGCCCATCCCATGGGAGGGAGCCGTTCGAGCTGGTAACATCACCGATGATCATTTGAAAAAGATCAAGGCAGTGGACAAGGTTCGCAAAGATCAGAGACGTCAGACTGTAGAGGGCGATATCTCTGGCTATGTAAGCCTGCTCTCTGGAAGTGCTGACGCCAAGAGTGTTCTGGACTCTGCTTCTAGGAGGACCGATATCGTACAGTATATCCTGGTGCTGGCAGCGGACTTGATCAATGGTGGGTCCATGTTTGATCTTAAAGTATGCGCAAACGTACCGAAGTTGTGCTGACCCGATTACTCGGTATTGTAGATGTTCCAGCGCTCTCATCTGCCCTAATTGCGCATCCCGATCCCTACAAGCCATTTCTCCCTCTCTTGCGTCATTCTACGAATGCCGAGGATCCTATTCCGTTGCTCACTTCTACCTTCCTGACAAACCTTGTCTCTATCAGCCTCGTGTCTTCCTCTAAGTCTGCGGCCCGAGATGAAGAGGCACTTCCACAACTGTACACTTACCTCTCCAGTCTGACCCAAAACCAGGACAGTGGGTTGCAAGACATTGGTGTCCAGGAGTTGTCGGTGTTGCTTCGTACATCTAGGTCTCGGGAGATCTTCTGGAAGCAGAGGAGAGAAACGGTTGACCCCTTGATCGAGATTCTACGTGCGGCGACCGGAGGCAAAGATACCAATTCCAGCACCGTAGCTGGCAGTTCGCGGGCGATCGAGCCAGGTCTCTCCGGCGGTGTTGGGCTTCAACTTCTGTATCGGGTCCTCCTTGTTATTTGGCAGCTGAGCTTTGAAGGCGCGCTAATTGGGGATGACCTTCAAGCGTACGTAGTCTCCGTCTGGTCCAACATATTGCACCCTGACCGAACTCTACTGACGTCCGCAGGGACCACGAATTCCTTCAGCTGTATACTTACCTCCTGCGCCTGTCGCCGAAGGAGAAGACAACCCGGCTTCTACTCGCAACCCTCAACAACCTCCTTTCTTCCAACCGCACAACCCTATTGCCGGTCGCAGTTTTTGTCCGCCTCCCCGCCCTTCTTTCGAACCTTTCGGGTCGTCATTTGACCGATCCCGACCTTCTTGAGGATCTCAAGACTCTCACTGACATGCTCGACGAGTACACCAAAACTCAAACTACGTTTGATCAGTACGCGGCGGAGTTGCAGTCCGGACACCTCCGCTGGTCTCCGCCCCACCGTAACCCTACGTTTTGGAAGGAAAATGCCCGTCGCATTCTGGATGATGCTAACCTTCCTAAGAAGCTAGCGGAGATTATCTCTAAGGAGTGGGACAATGACAAGCAGGTTCTCGCGATCGCCTGTAACGACGTGGGCCATCTAGTGAAGGAGCTGCCGGGACGACGGGCACAGCTGGAAAGGTTAGGGTTGAAGGCGCGAGTTATGGGGCTGATGGCCGACAAGGACGAGTCGGTACGTTGGGAGAGTCTGCGAGCCGTGGGCGAGTGGCTTCGGTATACCTTCGACGACTGATTGCTCGTCGCGGGATGCTTGTTACTTGTGATTATATTACCCAGTGTCTGTTACTTAGGTGCTTGCTTTGGACTTTGCCGATATAGAGATAATCAGCTGCATTGTATTGATTGCGCAGCGTACGTCGGCCAAGTGTCATCATTACTACTGTGCATTTAGCGAGGTGGTTTTGTGGGACAAGTAATCTTCCTTGACGTTCTAGAAGGATATGCCATGTGTTTGGAATGTAGTCAAATAGGGTTATAATCGGCTGGTGGCGACAGAATTTCGCCTCCGTTTTGTGAAACTTCGGAACCACAACCCCGCATTAGAGAAGGACTTGTGGTAAGCCGTTCTAAATTTTGAGGTCTCCTTAAATTCCAGACCAGGGAACACGGAATTCTTCTCCGGGGGAAAACAATCTTGGATCCTCTCCACGACTTCTCCATAGTGTCCCTGTACATACCGTAGGCACGACCCTCCGGTGGATCTTTGGCCTGGATGATCGGCCGCTATACAGCACTCCGCAGTTCCGTTATCTCCATTTCCACTGATACGAGCGACCCTCCACGGGGTTTCGTGCCACACTCTCGTTGCGCACAGAGAGCCGACATTTTGCTAAATTACTCACTCCTCTTTCCTGTTGATCTAAAGCGATATTCTGCACGGCGTCGGGCATATTCTGACGCCACCAGGAACTGCCGAGGTAACCAAACGGAGAAGGGTTCCAGAGATTGAAGATAACGGGAAAAGCCAAAAAAAAAATAAAAAAAAAATAAAAAAAATAAAAAAAAAGGAAAAAAAAGGGATCAGAGAAATTAGGCAACCATCAATCGACCACACAAGATCCGATCCCATGTCTCGATCATTTACTGGTTGCAAACGATGTAAAGCTCGACGGCAAAAATGTGACGAACAGCGACCGATATGTGGACGATGCAAGACGGCTGGAGCGCAGTGCCGATATGCAATGCAGCTGCAGTGGGGAGGGAGGGCCTTTTCGCGCTCGAGGTTCGGGGCCTGTGTGGGACATGGGGGCATGCAGAAACTCGGTATGTTACATCTGCCACTCTTACTCGGCCATACTCTTCAACTATTGGAGCTCTTGGGTCTAACGAGTCGATCTAGAGTACTCTCCCGGCGAATTCATCTATACTACCAAAGCTTCACCTCCGCCTCCTGAACCTCTTGCTCTCGCCCGACCCGTCGATCCGTTTGCCTCGTTATCGTCTGACCAGAAGGCTCTTCTTAACCATTTCCTTAATGATGCCTCACAAATCACTGCCTGCCATACGGGCATGCAAAGAGATATCTGCCAGATGCTTGTTCCGATGGCCCTCCAGACTCCGTCTTTACTATATGCGACGATGGCCCTATCGGCGATCCACCTACAAGCCCTACACAATCAGTCGGAAAACGTCAAGTCTGCACCAGAAATAGCAAGGTTTATGGCCCTCAGTTTAGAACATTTTCGGGCGGAGCTTCAGGACCCTAACGTCAAGGGTTCGGATGCGCTGTTGGCGACCGCACGAACACTCTGTCTCGCGGAGATTCATTCGGGGGCTATTCATCCTAACTCATGGAGGGCTCATATTGAAGGAGCTAGGGCGTTGATGGATGCTTGTGATACCCGAGGAGCGTTGTCGCCGCGGTCGTCGGATGGGTTCAGGAGGTACTTGAATCGGTGGTACCGATCGATTGTTTCTCTCACCGCGTTAACAGGCAATGGGCCACCTATTGGTGACGTTGCAGATCAAAGCATCTTGAGTACTGCCAACCAGCACGACTCTCCTGACTACCTTGACGATTACTGGGGCTTCACAGTTAATCTCGCTGCAGTCTTTCGCGGGATAGGGGCCGCTGCTTGGCGAAGTCACCCGAGCCAACAATCTAGTGGCGTGACACAAGTAGACGAATTCAGCGTTCACCATGAAGCCGCGGTTCTCGAGTCGTCCGTTCGGCGCTTGATGGATCAGGAAGTTGTTTCACAGCCTGCATTCTATCCAGGGGTGGTGGAAGGACTCTCAAGCGAGTACATCCGTCAATTCGTTCTATGCAATGAAGCTTTCCAGCATAGTGCACTCATTCAGATCTATCGTCGGTTGAAGAAAACACCAGCCTCGTCACCGGAGGTCCAAGCATCGGTCAAGCGGATCTTGGAATGTACTGCTCAAATTGGACCCTCGGCGGGGCTAAGTCCATGGACCATGCTTACCACACCGTTATTCATTGCAGGCTGCGAGGCAGGGGATGAAGACCGGGAGAAAGTGCGCCAATTGCTCTCCTGTTTACATGATACGATTCGGGTACCGAACGTGCTACAGTCCTTGAGGTTTTTAGAGCAATATTGGGCGAGCCAGATTGATGAGAATGAAGGTTGGAATCAATTCCTCGGTATGTCTGCTTGTGTTACTCCGGAGTCTACATTGCATCTGCTGACCGTCATAGATCGAATGCAATTTGACTTTATCCCCTATTGACAGGGCCTCGGGGAATACCGTGCTATTTATGTTCACGATGCCAAGAGAGCGTTTAGGAAAGTTCATGCTTTTTAATGATATTTTTATATGTACCGAACAATTGTGGAAGCTGTGGCACAGCGCATGGGTTACGTTAATTTTGAGCGAAAGGGTGTCATTATGAGGATTGATGATTCTAGTGATTTATTGTATATCTAGCTGTATATATGTATTTCTTTGAGCATTCTGTATACTTATCTGTCTCTATACCACTATCCCTTTGACGTTAAAATAGTTGGCAGGTGTCATTTGACATTCCCAGCTCCTACATGCATAATCAATCACACGTCACGTTCCCTGCCGAGTTTAAATCTGCTGGAATGGACGTATCACTTTCCAACTCAAGGAGACAGGGATTGAGACTGTTATCCCTCGAGGGAGGGAAAAAAGAGCGGTTGAATCAAGAAATCCGGCCCCATAGAACTACTGACTCTATCCTTGCAGAACTTAAACGCCTGTCAATTCTTAAATTAGCATTCCTAAGGATGGCAGTCTCTTTGTTGGCGTCTTCAACCGGGACAATGGTCTGGGTTCACCCCTTGCCTTGGAGATAGGGCTATATGGACCACCAGCCTGGTCTCGGATCTTTCTTTCTTTCTTTTTTTCTTTTCCTTTCTTTTCCTTTCTTTTCCTTTCTTTTCCTTTCTTTTCCTTTCTTTTCCTTTTTTTTTTTT